TTGTCTGTCCATTACGACCATGGGTTTGTGAGGTTTTTTTTTGCGTGGCCATGCATTGTCTCCGTCTTGCAACGTGCACTGGACGGCAAGACGTTGTTACAGGCCATTGTGGGGACCAAGCTTCCTCCAAGCGGATCGTATGCCGCGGCGCTGCAAAAGTTGTGTCATCCGGCTTTGGCCCTGCATTGGCTGTGCGTCGACGCTGCGCCAGACATTTGGTCTCTGAGCTAGGCGGCTGCACTTCAGCATACCGCCCAGATGCTGCTGGGCTTGCGCGGGGTGCTTGGATGTCTTCATTTCATGTTGTCGCAGCAGAAGGTAGGACGGGTCAAGGCGACATGTCAGGCGACGCTTCCCGGTAGGGAGAGGCGAAGCTCGCCGACTTTCTCCAATGTTCGAGTGGTTGACAATCTCACATAACTACTGCCATGCTCTCCTCCGAAGGGCCAGGCCAGGCATGCTTTCGGGTTTGCTGGCGGTTTGTTTGAGTTTTCGACGGGACCGAGGCCAGGATCCTTGCGGCCTCAGCACGTTGGAGCAGGACCTGAGGCCAGAAGAACGGTAACGTCGCAGCTCGGAGGATACTCACTTGCATGCTTTGGGCTTCATCTCAGTGCCACTATGTGAAGAGTTGAAGTTCGCGAGTCGTGCAGGTGGCTGGAGAAGCGCGATGGCACAAAGAAGATGGTGAAGGTACCCTGTTCATGTAAGTTGCTCCACGTCAAGCGGTTGAATTGCCTTGAGACCTTCTGCTTGCCATATCTTGTCATATTGAGGTGAGCTAACACCAAACCTAACAGCCCAGCATGCAATGGTGCCTCATGGCAGGCGGTTCAGATTGCCCGTCACTGCATCTCCGTCCAGTTGCGGTTCAGCCTCGGAGGTGCAAATCTGAATAGTACGCAGTCAGGTTTTGACCTGAAGGGATACTGTAGCATCAGTCGCCACAAATGCTGATTCGATGGTTTTCGTCTTGATTGTAAGAGTCGTCGTAGAAGCGTGCTGCTTGTGTCTCATGCAGGCCGCGACAACTCGATAGAAGCCTATCCTGAAGTCAACCTGAGTATCCAGAATGCTTTGGAATCTCGGCAGAAAAATGGCTCATTGCGGTTCGGCAAGTCGTTTTCTATTCGGTTGATGGGTAGATGCGATGCAAGAAGGACGTGACACATTGACATTATTTTGCGTTGCGCGTTCATGTCGCAACCAGCAAAGGCTCGTGCCAATGAAGTTCTGCAGACGCAGAACGTGCACGTTCCTCCGGACCTGTCGCTCCTCGGCCTGGTCGCAAAGGTTGTGTCATCATCGGCCTGGGGGGATCTTGCTCTTGCAACGCAGGACAGCTGAAACTTGTGCATGCCTCGAGCCCAAAATCCTGGAAGTTCATAGACGTGGAGTGATGGGCGCTCTAAGGGGAATAGACAGCTCAAAAGCATTAGGACCTGACTAGGAGTAAAGTCCACGGTGTTGAGGGTCGGGTGTTACGGTTACTACATATTCTGAGCAAGCGGACGTGAAGCCGCGAATTCTAGTGGAACTTTGGGGATGGAGTATGAGTCAGAAGCACCCTGTGACCCGGCACATTCGGGTCAAAATGGCCTGTGTTGAGACTTTATGCTGCTGGACAGAGTCTGTTCAACGTGACGTGGGGCAGAGATTCCACTGCCAGGCCAAGACGGCTCGAGGGCAAATTCTCCCGATCTGAGGTATCTCCCAAATTAATCTACCTGGGAATCTACCTCGCCAGCCGTGGCAGTGCGTGTGTGACCAAAGCCTGCTTCCAGCAAGGTTCAACAACGACCACCCCTCGCCCAGCGGCAGTGGTGTGCGTCTTGCCATTAAACAGTGAGAAAGACGGAGAGAGAGAGGGAATGAGAGGGAGAGCGGAGACAAGCCGTGACTGGCAAAATGCAGAAACGAAGTCCCTGATTCGAGGGAGAAGTGAAAGGGGATAGAAATAGTCATACAGGTACTGACTGTCAGCTGAACGGTTCTCGAAGACTGGGAATACTGGCGGCAACGAGAGTCTTATTGTTACCCCGAACCAGAAAACCACTCCACTTGCAAGCGAGATGAGGGTCACCGCCTGAAGTACTTGAAAGTGCTAATGGGTCAGGTGTTGTCTGCTATATAGTACGAGCAACAAAAGTCAACCAGAGAGTGGGCGCAGGCGCAGGCAGTGCACCCAGCTGCCCGGTTGCAACTCCAAGAGTCAGCGTGTGTGCACCTTTCAGGTCATGGGGTACGCCCAGTGACTTGTACAATCCGGCCGAGGTTTTTCAATGACAGGTCTATCATTGCAAGTTCAGACCTGCTGAAGATTTCGAGCAGTGCAAGGATTCCGGGACGGAAAACCTTAAAGATAGCAGACTCTCGCAGCTTTGGTATCCTAGCTTTGCATAACTCGTGCAGGGACAAGCTTAATTGTCAGACACTCTGGAGCTTCGGCTTGTCTTGGCTTTTCTTTCCATGCAGCCTAGACCTAGACCTGCGAAAGGCAGACTTATATGCCTTTCCGTTGAAATTTGTCCGCGAAGAGCGTAGAAAGGAGCCGGGAGTGACATGGTGAATTCACTTTTAGCCGCTGTTTTGCCCGAACTCGGCTCCCTGTGTGACTCCCCATGAATGTCTGGGTAGGGTGAACCTGTACAGACCTATCCAGCCATTCAGGGTGGCTTAATTGAAATTTTCTTGTAGACTCGTTGACTAGCCACGGGATCTGCAGATGGTGCTGTGGCTGTCTTGTAGTTCAGCATGATGCAATGATGCATCTCCCCAGGTGTGCAAAGCCTAGTGTTGTCCACCAAGACGTGACAGCTTCCAACTGCAGTGCCGATGTTCCGCACACGCATCATTGCAGCAGGTGTTGGATGTGTGTTTGCAACAATTGGCTGCTGCAGAAGTTGCACATGGATCTGTGCAGTCGGCACTGGCCGCGAAGTCTCTCTTGTGAGCACGAGGACCTCCAGCGACATCATTGTTCCCTTGTTTGGTTCCCACACATATGCAGGCAGAACATTCAAGGGAGGGCCTGTGCCCGAAAGCATTATGGCTGCTGAATGCCCCGTTTCTGGGCCCTCCGGGTCACATGAGCAACTCAGACATGGTCTTCTTGCAACAGGCTCAAGGAATGAGTCCCAAGAGCCACCTCAAACACGTCGGCAGTTCTTTGAAGCACCATTATGTTGCAAGTGGACACGATAACGGACTCTGTGTCACTCCGTGGTGCAGCCCGCACAGCTCAAGAAGACTTTGGCCCAGAGCAGACTAAGTGTGGAGGCACTGAGCCTTGCAGTTGCAGTTAAACTTGAAGCACAGAGATCTGAGACCGGCCGAAAGTCTTCTTTGACTTGGGCTGCGGTGGCAGAGTGAGGCAGAGGGTGGCACTTTGATCATGACAAATGTGTGGCACTTTAAGACTTTTCGTGCTAAGTTTTTATCTTTATCCAGCTGGTTTGCCGACCCCTCTGCAACTGGGCCGTGCCAAACGTGCTGTGCCCATCATGCGGAATGTCTCCAGCAACAGGACGCGAGCTAGAGCCAGAGCTAGTAGGCAATACAATGTCCATACGTTAGTTCCGGGGTTGTGGGTTGGGTGAAGGAGTAAAGGGGCTTAAAGGGGGCAGAGATTTGGACACAACAAGCGAGGTGGGTGGGGCTGGAGCACGAGGGGGTCCTCCGAATCTGGAATCTGACTCAGTGAGGGAAAGATTTGAGACAAAGAAAGGTCGAGGAACATAAGGAGTAAACGAGCAGGCGAAGAGGCCTGCCCTTGCCTTCCCCTTGTTCAAGCCACGACTAATGAGTTGTCGAAGCAGCCGTGGTTCGGAGATGGGTGGTTCCGAGGGAAGCGGTGCTTGCAGGTTCAGCTGTCCTCAGCGACCTGTCCGCGTCCATGTCTCGTGGGTCGTTGCCCAGACGCTCACGAAACGAGAAATCTGCAAGTTGGCAGAAACCAGCTAAAAGCCCTGGCAAACTTCTGCAAAAGCTTTGCTTTCTGTCTGCGTCTCGTCTGAGTGCGACGTATCTCCAACCAGCAAGGCTTGTGACCAGGTTTCTGTCTCTGTGTCTGTCTTTCTCATTGCGCCCGAGCTTCTATCCACGATTCTGTGATCTGCTCGACGTGAAGTGGAAGTGCACCTCGGCGTTCTGGAGTTGGCTCCGATCCGGGCCCTTGATCCGCTAGTCAAGAAGACGTCCACGGCAAACTCAATTACCATTTCCTTTGCAACTTGTTGACATGCTACTGGCGTGAGGTTCTGAAAAGTATTGTACTTGCTTTCAAGAAGCCCCGGGGGTAGCTGTTTTTAACGAATGCACCCATGCACTCCACAGGTGTGCAGTAGAAGCACCATCGCGTTCTGGGTCTAGCTGACACCAGTCGTAGGAAGAGGAGGCCGCGTATGTGACCGCGACGTTTCGACTACCTGCTAGGGCATGGAAGATAAAAGTGTTGATCGGGCTGACGGCCTTTTCGATGGAATGAAGCACGGGCAGACGGGTTGAGGAGTCGTAAAATTGTCGTAGAATGTGCGTGGTGCCAAGGAGCTCGTTGTTGGCCCCGACGCTGCTGCCGGCAGCCTCGCGAGATGACTGGGTACTGGTTTGGTGACTCAAGAGTTTTGGCGAGGTGAGCATGGCCGGGCTCCTTTCGGGCATCAAGTCACCGTGTCACATGAGCCAGACGACCGGAAGCTGCATGCGGCTGCCATGGCATAGAGCACTTCCAACGTGTAGGAGACTTTGGTAAGGCATGGTAAGGCTCAGATGTGCATGACTGCATGAACACAAGCCCTCTTTCGGTGGGTCTTGTAGTGCATGGCAGCATGAAGCTATGTTCAATCTCCACACTGGTAGGACTACAAGCCACTAGGAATTTATGATGACATGATGTCCAATGCTGTTAGCCGGCAGTTCTCAAACTGGCATCCGTGTCAAGCAAAGACAATGCACGCGAATGCCATGTTGACCGTCGGACTGCTGGGAATCCTTGCCGGAACATGAGCAAAGCTGCTCAGCTGGCTGCGCTCAATGCCGCGGCTACTGCCGGGAAACTCGGAAGATCTCGGAAGCCCCCATCCGCTTGGCCGGCAGCTCTCAGCTCTCCGAGGCAGGGGACGTCGCCGCAGCCAGGCGATGCTTCGATTCGTTGCAGCCCAGGGATCGAGCCAGGTCGGGAGCCTTCAAAGGTACTCGGACAGCTTCTTTTCCGATCCCGATCTCGTGATTCACAGGACAGTCGCTTGGAACACCATGCTGAAGGCCGGCTGTATGAGGAAGCTCCGCAGATCTTGGCTTTCAGTAGCTCTTTCAGTCAAAGCCAGATTTCATGCAACCGAGGGTGGGTAGAGGGAGCGGAGGTTTTGTCTTTGTGACTGGGTAACCCGGCTTCGCTGGTTGTGGCAGGCGCATGCCGTCGCTGGTGACCTGAACGGAGCTACAGAGCATTTTCGTGCGTGGGCCTTATGCTCTGCAGCCCTTCACGTGCTGCGTCCGTGCCGCTGTTGCATGTTGAGAGCTGGGCGGCTCAGGAAATGCTGGGGCAGCGTGTTTGCAACTGACTCGCAAAAGGCTGGGGGATACGGGTGCAGTTGGAACTCGGGTTGCGGACGGTGTGTCCGGAGGTTTGGCTGCAACCTTCGGAGGGGTTGTCATCGCCAGTGTCACGACAAGACACAGCTGAGACACAACCCAGGCATCAACGGCCGAACTTTCGGAAAGCTCATCAGGCATCGCGAGAATTGGTTTCGGTTGTCGAGCTTTATACTGCTTGAGACCTGCCAGGGCAGCTGCGGAGGCCGCGGAGCCGGAGCAAGGGGCATGGTTCCTCCAGCAGCAGTGTGCGTCAGGCTTTCGATTGAGACTCGCCCCCACAACTCGGCCTGGCTGTGCCTGCCAGGCCTCGAGGTGGATATGGTGACGTACACCACAATAGCGGATGCTTTCTCAAAGGCTTGCTTGTCACCGTGCGATGTGCAGTTGGCCTGGAGTGTCACTGCAGGCTGGCAGGCCTGATGAAGCCGAGGCTTTTCTCTTGCGTGCCAATGCACGGGGCGCGGCCCCAAGAACAGCCACGATGCCGGCACTGATTGCACTACGTTCGAGCTCCAGGCCTTGCGCTTGATTCCGTCGCTATGGGGGTCTCTTGGCCGTGCTGTGGACATACAGCCTAGGAGTTTCTAGACCGGAACTGGAACCTAGGCAGAAAGCTTTGCAACCCGGAGCCCGGGTGAATTTGGGTGGTGGGTGTGAAATCCGCACCAGCCGTCTCCCACTTTCTCGCCCAAGCCCAAGGCGTTGAGCGCCGGCTTCGCGAAGCTTGGCCAAGCAGAGAAGGCACAGCACTGGTTAGAGGCAGGACTTCGTTGAGCCCGGCATGTCAAAGCCCAAAATATGCAGTTGCATATAAATTTACACGATCGTTTGGCTGGTGTGAAGGGCCTTTGTTGGAGAGAACTGGCAGGAGATGGTCCGACAAGGTGCAGGAAGTGGCGTCATGTGGTGTCACTGATTGTCGGGGACGTTGCTTTGGTCAGGCCTGGAGCCCAGCCCCGAAAGCATCGGGGCGGTCGCGGCAGCTTGGGCCCAGAGAGGCACAGCGTGCAGGTTGAAGTCTCCTGCTGAAATCTCGAGGGATGTGGCCAGGCAAGCCTCTGCAAGCCGAAATGTGGCTTCGCGAGGTGGCTCAGAATTGTGGATGATGTGGGCCGGGGCACGGAAAAAGTGTTTGACAGAGGTTCCGAAGGTTTATGTTCTTCGCCTCGTCGATTTTTGACATGCTGGTTGAGGATGTATTGGCTGGGTGGCATTCCTCTTTGCTGCCCGGCTACATGACAACACAAGTGGTGGTCATAAGTCTTTTCCAAATTGTCAACATCGATTGCGGTCGCTGACATTGCTTCCTGTTTTCCACCGTGCACACCTGTACACCGTGAGCGGCTAAAGTCGAATCTCTCAAAACGCATGGCCGGTTCCCTTAACATCCCAAACATCAACATGTGCGAGCATGCTGCGATTGTGATCCGTCCGCTCTTGTGGACTTCTCCAGGATCCACAGTGCTTTTCATTGCACGTTAATGTCTACTGCGTGGCGACAGTAATGCGATGTGCGTGTGTGTGTGCGTGTGTGTGTGTGTGTGTGTGTGGATGCAGCTCTCAGTCTGCTGCAGATGCGCGAGCGTCAACTTGAGCCCTCACCGTCAATGATAACATCGCTGGTCCATGGCTGCTCAAAAAGTGGGCAACCAAAGGCCGGTGCAGTGCCAGGGCTGCACAGTTCGTGGAGTGGTGTTTATGGGAGGTCGTTCAAGGGAAGACATTGGAAGACATTGGCGGCTGAGTTTGGTAATGTTTGGTAGGTGCGCAACCATTGGCGCTCCTTTGAGTCACTCCCTGGCACCGCTGTGTTATGGTTGCAGCATGTTGCAGCGATCTGCCCGAGCCATGTGATTGCAGCCGGTTGGTTTTGAGAGAACTCGAGTCGAGCTGCACACGTTGTGACTCTCGCAGGTTTTGCTGACAGGGGTGAACTCGCTCACATCAGGGCTGCGTCATGGAAAAGGGTGTCAAACCAAGCAGGAATCCTGAAACAGGAAAAGGTGCAAGCTAGCCATCATCACGTCCATGCAGCTCACCTGCTCATGTGCATCACGAGGAAGTGTGTACAGAGAAGTTGCAAGTTTCAGGGTTTTCCCGCTGCGCCGAAACTGAGCGCCGAAACTAGATCCGAAACGAGAACCCCGAAACTATGGGCCCCCGTATGTACAGTTCCCTGATCTCGCCACGATGTGGCGGGTTCCTGCCTAGCCGAGGCCTTCGTGGAGCAGCTGCAGAAAGAAGGCCTTGGCTTGGAATCGCTTGAACTTAGCACGCAGAGCAGTCAGGGGCAAGTCCCATGCCAGGTACCACTCCAACCGTGGAGGTTTACAATGCAATGCTGAGTGGCTGTGCCCGACTGGGCAAAACCACACAGGCGTGGAAATTGTCCCTGGCTGCTGATCTTGCAGGACAGGGTAGATAGTGGTAAGGTTTCTAAGAATGCGTTTGTGTGCAATGTTGGAGCTTTCGGACCGAGTCAGTGTGCAGACAGACAGGCCGAAGCAAAGTTCCGAGAGATGTTGGATGCAAGCCTGCAGCCCGACGTCATCACTTTCAACTCCATGACGCTTGCTTAACACATTCAACTCGGCGGTGCCTGCGGGTTGAGAAGATACGACATGCAGCACATTGCATGCTAGCGTGTGGGCAGTTAGAAGCATGCCATATCAAATCCTCCCTGAAGGAAGCAGCTAGAAAGCATTTCCGGCATGGTGCATGGAGACAGACTATTCAAAATAGCGAATGACAGATTGCAGCTCTGACATGCTCTCACTTGGCCCAAGCTCGGAAGAGTGAAATCAGCTCTCCTTGGATCTCGCGTATAGTGGCGGATCCTTTCTTTCTTTCTTTTCCGTAGCGCCATGGCAGAAGGTGAGGGCTCCGCCAAAGGCGTGGAGGCACGGACTTTATGGACACTCAACAGGCTGATGGTGCTCCTGGGGGTCCGGCCGGAAAAGTCAGATAAGTTCATCAGCGGTTTCACTACAGAGGAGGCTTCTGCTAGAGCTTTGGCACGCTTCTTGGACGAGCCTGAAGTCCCAGCGTGCTTTTTCATCCCTAGCAGTGAGTCGGTCACATGCACTGTGGATCTCCCTTCAGCTCCGCAGATGAGAAAAAAATTTGTGGCCATGCACAGATCGAGCCCTGAAGTCCAGATCAGCAAGGAAACCATTGCAGAGTCAGTCATCCTCATGGAGATGACGAAGAACGTGATGGATCTCCTGAACATGTATTGCCAATCAGTTTACCTTTCTACACTGACGAACCCTGCAAATCAGGCAGGATGGTCAGATCTGATCGCCAAGGACCTCATGGACAAGTATCATGTTTTCCTTGCCAGCCTGCACGTAACCGTGGGACTCATGAAGGGCCACACCTGGCTGCCCCACCCACCCCGAGATGCGCTCCCCACCAGTGGCGGCATGGCTGCTGCCTCAGGCGGCGCTGGATCATCTGGTGGCAAGGATAAGGTGCACGTCCTCGAAGGGGCGGTGATTACATGGACCAAGCAGATTCGCCACGTGCTCAAACAGGATCCTGAGGTGCTGCTCAAGGACGGCAAGAACCCGGAACCAAGTGCTGAGCTCAAGTTTTGGCGGAGCAAAGCAGCAAACTTGAACTCCATCCATTCTCAATTGGGTATGGATGCGCTGAAGAAGGTCCTGAAGTTCCTAGAGACGAACAAAAGCACCTACACTGCACCTTTTTCAAAGCTGCAGAAGGAGGTTGAAGAGGCTCGCGAAGAGGCAAACGACAATGTAAAGTTCCTGTCAACGTTGACAAAGCTTCTCGTCATAACAGAGCATACCGTGATGCCGTGTTTCTTGCGTGGCACGGCCAGAACGATTCGGTAGAGGTCGGGTGTCGTCCGAGGGAGACAGTACACCTGAGGTCCATCGACAAGCTCACCAGTGACAGCGCCGATTTCGAGCAGCTCGAGCAGCTGTTTGAGCCAGTGCTTCACAACATTCTGCTCATCTGGCGCTATTCGAAGTTCTACACCACACCAACTCGCTTGGCTGTGCTGATCAGAGAAATTTGTTGCTTGGTTGAGGGGATTTGAGGGGTGAGCGTTGCCAGTGATGAGTTGTAGTCCAACTGTTTCGTGAAGCTGCTTTCTGGGGCACAGCAGCTGAGGCAATTCCATCATTGCACAGGCGGTCCGGTACATCAACGGCAGCGATATTTTCACCATGATTTCTTCCGAAGAGACAACAGAGTGCTATGCCAAGCTCGAGAACACATACAGGAGCTCTGGCACCATGTTGCATCGAGCCGTCAGCAACCCAAAGGCATCATGTTCGCATTGCTCGCATCACGCTCGTCTGCAGGATTTGCACTTCCTTCAAGGATGCCTACCTTCTATTCAAGGACATTGCGCTGAATCAGGATGGTTCCGGATGGAAGATGAGCCTCAGCCTGCATACTGTTTCTGTAGCTTCTTTCGACCGGTCTTGATGATCACAGGTACAAAGCAGTGAGAGCTTGACATAAGCAAGGAAGAACGATGCCCTCTTTGTTCGCCTCGACTCATTCCGAGATCGCTGCCGCGATGCTTTAGACTTCACACGCACGGTGCCGTGTCTTGTAGATTTTGCAGCAATTTCCGCTCAGAGCATCTAGCTGTGAGCGGCAGGGGCTTGCCTGACGATCATATTTCCATCGTCTTTGCCTTGTTTGCTGCTGTGAAAGGTGATCCAGTTCTCCAAGCTCGAGCGTGTGGAAATCGGTGGAACAAAGGGTAAGGCCGCATTGCTGAAATGATTTCTCACCTCAGCCGCTATGGTGTGTGCCGGTTGATAAGATATATTGCGTTGCTGGGGTTGTCGTTCTGACGAAGTCAACATGGTAGCCCTGGCCGGCCGTTCAGCTGAAGCCGGAGAAGTAGCAGATCATCCACGCGCCCGTGGCACATAGTGTCAAGGCTTCCTCATGATTTAAGTAAGCACACAGGCAGGATGATTTCCTTCTTGTAGGCTCCCACGGCACATTGGGAACCGAGCCTTGAACCGTGAAGTCACCTCTAGGTCCTTTCGGACTGTGTCGTCGCCATCAAAGAGGAGTTCTTGAAGTGTGTCGAGACCTTCAAAGGTGTGAGCTATGACATTATGGATGTCGGAGAAGTGCAGCTACTTTTCAGAGCCCAGATGTCTTGGTGCAGGGTCGTATACGGTTCAGGTGCTTGATGTCCAGTTGGAGTTTGAGCATGCTCATGCCTCTGCTTGCAAGTTGTGGAAGTTGAGCCTAGGTTCGAGCATGACTACTTCAAGTTCCGCATGACAGTCAAGGATCTTGATAGGAGACTTGGTAGCCTCCTGGGCTCCGCTTTTGACGAGCCTGGGCTGGAATGAAGGTGGTGAGTGTGCAACACTCGATGGAGGTTGCGTGCGCCAGCTCGGACTAGGTGTCAAGTCTTGGCTGGCTCATAGTACAGAGGATTTGGACACCATCAACATGCGCGTCAAGCTCTTCGACATTTTCGAGGGATTGTTGGAGCGTCCGATCATCCAGGCCTGCCGAGGTGGTTGCCAAAGAGGCGGAAGCTACGGTTGTAGGATGGGGTTCGACTGTGTAGCAATTGCCAGGCAGAGCTGGAGAAGAAGCACAAGATGCTGTTACACCAGGTGTGTGTGTGTGTGTGTGTCTGTGCGTGTTTCAGGCCATCTAGACAGGTCTGGCAACTAAGCCCTGAGGTCGAGCAGGATCTCACAGCCGTTGAGACTGGCTTCGTGGAGGCGTGGGGGGTCGGGGTAGGTTCGTGGTGAAAGTGGATACCAACGCTTTCATGTTCTATCCCGAAGGCGAAGGACAAGGTGGACCAGTGCTACGACGATGCGCCGATCTTCTCGAACCTGCCTCCAGCGGCGGGTGCCATTTATTGGGCCCGGTGCTCAAGGCACCGCATCAACGAGCCGATGAACAAGCTCGCGTTCTACAACCTCGCATTGCGGGAAACGCCTGAAGAGTTCAGAGAGGTGAAAAAGCAGCATCAGACCTTGGACAAGATGCTCCAGGACTACGAGCTGCAGCGCTACCAAACTTGGGAGCAGACCTCTGTGGAAGCCGCCAAGGAGAAGCTCAAGATGAGGCTCCTGCGACGGCAGGAGAAGTCGGGTCTTCTGAAGGTGAACTTCGACCCGGCCTTGGTCCGTTTGCTGCGGGAGGTGAAGTTTTTCCTCATCTTCGACATCGAGGTGCCTCCCGTGCCTCGGAGAGCACGGAAGTCACAGAAGCTCTGAAGCTCGCCCTCTTTCTCCTGCATCCGTCTCCGTGTTCGCGTCAGCTCCATTCTGCTCTCAGGCCGCGCTGGAGATGTTTGACCGGGTGGCCACTTACAGGCAGTGGGTCGCGCAGATGGATCACATCGTGGGCATGCGCCTGGGCGACATACTCGCGCATCGCACGCTAGCCTGGCCCGCAGCTTCTCCGCGGCCATTCCTGCAGGTACAATGCCGTGCTGACAGAGCTGCTTCCGGTCGAGGAGCCACTCTTGGAAGATCGTATTGCCAAGATGGATCAGGCCGCACGATTCTACGAACTCTAGCTGTTGTAATTTGTTTCTCGTTCCAGGTGTTACGCCAATCCTCAGAGTAGGTGACCAGCAAGTGTGGAGTAGCGCTTCTCTTGAACCTCAGCTAACGGTCCGAGTGTGAGAGGGCAGACATCGAAGGTGCTGTCGCCGGGTCTCACGGAGCTGAAGTGGCGCAGTGAGGACAAAATCCCGGAGTTCATCGAGAACCTGGGCTGGGAAATGCACCTCACGGGAGCTTGTGGTAGCTGTTTGATTCGAGTAGCCGCGCAGCCACTAGCCGCTAGCCATTCGAACCAAGAAACTCAGGAATACCATGCGTGTGGTCAGCGACGTGTCTGGAGTCGTGGAGATCATGAAGGGCGGCTCAGCAACTTCAAATGACTTCGGGATGGCTTTGTACAGCCGCCACAAACTGCTGTTCTAAGGTAACCTGCGGTCGATTTCCGGCATTCTCTCGCAGTGGTGCAAGGAGCCAATCATTTCGAGAGCCAAAGGCATCGGCCGTGTTGCTTGTGCAAGAGCTGGGCTTGAGTAGTACCTTCCACTGCCTTGAGCATCTTTAGGCCATACTGCAAGGGCAGGCTGCATGCTTGAAGGATCTTCCGAGGTATGCAAAGGATCCGACGTGCCTTGTCGTTGCGGGCAGGTTCTAAGCCTATGGCGCTGGACGAGTTTGATCTGAAGCACAAGGAGCGTGTGGGCATGCGTGGCTTGGCGGTCGCCACTGTGTATATGTCGCCTCAACTGGAAAACCAGAATTTATCTGTGTGTGGATTTCCTAAGTGCTCTCAGCATTCTTGGCGCTGTGGGCGCTCTACTTGCGATTGAAAACTCCGGGCCAAAGGCCGCAGGGATTTGATCTGAGGCATGATGACTCAGTCAGATGGTGGCAAGGAGATCCACAAGTTCGTCAAGGCACGGCTATGTTTCTTTGCAAACGAGTTGTCTAGACCGTTGCGACCCTTCTCATGTTCGGTTGGTGCAACCAGTCCCGCTGTCCTCATCTCGTGCTCTTTTGGAGGACTCTTCGG